GTCTTAAACGAGAGAAAGAATATTGAAAATCTTTGCTATTTATTTGACTGAGAAAATATTTCTTAACATTTTTAATTATAAAAATATCATATTATTTTAATTTATTTTTTCCATATTTAAAAATTCATACAAAATGATAAAAAATAATAAATAATTTTTTGTATAAATATATTTTTTAATATATATATATATATAAATGAAAATAAATTATATAAATTTAAATATTGTCTTAAAATTTTCTTTAAAAAAAATTGGCTTGCAAGCAATAGTGTAAGGAGTCAAACTTCCTATCTTTACTCTTGCATAGGCCTAATGCTTTGCTTAAATAGGAATATTGAAGAAAAAAATAAAATAAAGAAGAGGGAATGAGGTTTTAGCGTTTGAAAAAACTTAAAAAAAAAGAGATCTAGTTTGTCATTATATTTTTTTTCTTCAATATATATATTAATTGAAATGGTGAATATTTAGATCAAATTTTGCCTTTTAAGAGTAGTAGACAAGATGACTGTTTATCTCTTAATGTTTTTGTTATACACAATTTATTAGCACATTATATTCATCATAAAATAAATTTGGATAAACGAATGCCTTTTGGTTTTAACAAGAGGGAGTTAAAATTTCTTATTTATTTTTTGAAAATGATATTATTCTAATAGTTTATGCTTCTTCAATCCAAACACAGTTAATTCAATATGTTTTAAACTCTTTTTGTCAGACCTTTGGTGAAAAATTAGTACAAGTAAATCTACTATTTATTTTTCAAGTAACATTAATTTCAAAAACAAACTTCTTTTTAGTAAAGAGATGGTTATCAAATCTTTTAAAAAAATTTATTTTTATTTATTATTTTAGATCTAACAAAGTCATTTAATTTAGATCTGAGTCACACATCTTGATATAATAAGTCAGTCTACTATTAAAAAAAATTTCTATACACAAAAATATGAATTTGAGACTTTATTTAAACAATATTAAATCACTTATTTCTCAAACTAATCTCTGTTAATATTTTTATCTCTTTTTATATAACATTCACACTTGAAAGATATGAAGTCTTGCGCATCTACATAAATATTAAAAAAAAAATTATATTTTTATAAATAACACGTTTGTAAGAAAAAAAAAACTAATCAAAAGCTAATTTTTTTATTGTATAATTTTTTAAAAAATTATAGAAAAATGATTTTTTTTTTTCAAAATCTACCGGTGACGTTTGACTTTTTGCTATTTTTTAAATATGTTGTTATTATTTTAAAAATTATTATGGATAAATTTTTAATTTTTTAATATTTTTTAAAAAAAGTTATAGATAATTGTAGAGACTTTATCATTTTTTTCCTTTTTTTTTTAGATTTTTATACCTACACCAAGAATAGTCAATAGCAATTTTTAAATTTTATATTTCCATAATTTTTTTAAAATGTCATATTTTAATATATATCATTTCTAAATATCATATATAAAAAAATAATCCTAGAAAGCTACCACAAATTTTTGCAAAAATATGCCTAAGCAAAAACTATATTATTTATATTTGATTTTGTATTTATGTTGGAGATCTATTCTACGTCAAGAACAGCTTTAAAGACAAACAGTATTTAAGAAAACAAAAGTAGCGTTGTCAACTTCTCATCATCTTTTACATAAAACAACAAATCTTCCTAACTTCATTGCTAAGAAAAGGAAAGAGAAAATTGCCCTTTAGCTTCCCCAAACCATCATAGCAGCCATGTGTGTCCTAGAGGACCTATGCTCTCCCTTTATTTTTATTTTTATTTTTATATGTTTTTATCATGTGTCAATCTTTGATAGTGGTCATTCAAACTAAATTAAAATTTAAATCTCATAAAAATTTAGGGATTAAATTGAATCGATTAATAACAATGCAACTTTACCTTTTATTTCTTAGCCCTGAGTTTGTGTCTCTCTCGAGCATGCATGCCTCTATGACCTGATAAAAGCATCAGAATAATACAACTTTTTTTTATCTCTGTTTGGGAACTACGAGCAGAGTAGTAGAGTCAAATTTTGCACACAGAGACAACACAATCACCAGAAATGCTTAAAGGCTGTAAAGCAAGAAAGAGAAGCAGAGTGAGGGACAGATAGGTACCCACTTCTGTATTAGTTCGAAACAGCCAAGGAATGCTAAAAAACCCAAATCAAAAAGCAATTTTTTTATACGTCCTATTAAAGTCTCTTATTACATTTATAACATTATGAATTATCAAATATTTTTTATTGGGAATTATATATTATGATCTTTCATATGTTTATTGAAAAGACAATAACTAATAATGTATTATTTTAGCTCTGTTTGAGTTAGTGATGCAGATAATTAAAATGATGCAAATGTCATTATATTTTATTGCTTAGATAATTAAAATGTTGATGAAAATTAATGGAATAAAATTTGTCTCATTCTATCTTTCTTTTTCCTTAATTTATATGTAATGAAACCAGTATTATAGAAATAAAGTATATTCAAACAATAAAATGATGTATTTTGTCCGTTAAATTTTACTCCTTGCTTATATTTCATTCTTCTCTACTGATAAATAAATATCTATATAAGATAGTTATTCATGAATTACTTGATCTGAATTTAATCTCTTCTGATTACTCAAACTAATGTGTTTTCCTTTAGGCAATTAATTTAAAGTTCAAACCCGTTTTAGCAATGCATTATTAAAAATATCCTAAAAGTATTTTTTTAAAAATAACAATATTTTTTTCACCTTACAGTCATAGGCCCAAAAAACTCCTAAAAACCACTAGAATGTTGCAAAAGATGAATGAATGTACAACCACTAGAATGGACTAATTTGTATTTAGTTAGTAAAAAGAGTATTGCTTACATAAGCTACAATTTCTTATTAGAGTATGAAGCCACTTAGACAAAACATTGCAACACTTCATTGGATGACATGGTCATTTAGATTTTATTTGTTTGATATGACTACTGTAATTAGATCATGCATGGACTAACAATAAGCAAAAGGTGTTCAAATATCATTTATCTGTCAAATTTATCTCTCTTTTCTTTTTTTAGAATCACATATATATTTTGCCAAAGATATTCTATTTGAATTTAAATCATTTATAGCACAAAAAGACTAGTTCTTAATAATAAAAAATCACATATAAGGCTTACATTTCAAATTTTAAAGAGAATCAATGCCAAGCACTGATTAAGTTTATCCATTTATTTTCAATTTTAATATATAATTTAAGTTAATTTGCTTATTGTCTTTTTATATCTCTTTAGAATTTATATTAGTTATAACTATTTTAGTTTTTTATTTTATTTTTCTCATTCATATTTAGCTTAACTTGTCATCTTTTCCCTAATTGTATTTTTTATATTTTTAAAAATAATGCTAAATATATTCTATAATAAAAAGATATACATAAAAAAATATTTAACATTATTCGTTTATATATTTACAAATATTTTGTTTAATTTTAATCTTGTAAGCTCTAATTATAAAAACATTTAAATAAGTTCTCATCAGATTCATTACAACTTCAAAACTACAACTGCAAAACACAATGAGAATGAGTGAAGATATATGACATAGGAATTTTTAGTTTATAATGATATGAAAAATTATCAACATATAAAAAGAAGAAATAAAAATAATACTTATTAATATTTGTGTGTTCTTAAATAACTCAATTACTATATCAAACTAAATATAATATTTTTTAAATTACTTATATATAATTTAAAATACAATATACTATTTCAAATATAACAAAACAGAATTATATAATCATTTAATAAATTTTAAATTATACTATAAAATCATAAGAATGTACAAATAGATTTTTTTTGTACTAAAATAAGTTTAATTAAACAATAATGTTAAAATATATTGCCTATAAGATAAGGTTTGGTTATTGTTATAATAATATTAAAGTATATTGACTCAGATTAAAAAAAAAATTGTTTTGAGAAAATCATAGTTAGAATACTTTAATGTTATTGTTTGTTTAAATGTTTTTAATCCCAAAAAATCATATTCAAACATATAATTTAATGAAGTGTAATGATATACCCTAAAAATTTATATCCAAAATGAAAAGCTAGTCTATCAATAACCAGTTAAGATAACTAGCTGCTCAGCGATGCTTCAACAAGCACATTTTATAATTGATAGTCAAAAATAAATTGAGCTAAAACCTCTAAAAAAAACTGGCCATAACTGAATAAGAACCAAGTGAAAAATCGGGTTGAACAAATTTTCTTTTTTGTTTTTAAAATATTTTATTCTAAAATATTTTTTTAATAAACAAGGACTAACTCATGATTGATTACCTACATATGAATTATTATTATTTAATCATTTATTATAATTTTAACCTATAAAACAAAATACAATCATTTTATACTAATTTAAATTTCCAATTAACAAATTTTTATAACTTAATATTAGTTTATTACCAATTAAAACCCAATTGAAACACGTTCAACCACTGAAGTGTGAATTTGCACGTTCACCTGTTTAATCGCCAGTCAGTTTAGATAAAAAAAAAAGGGGGGGGAGAGATAGAGAATGAACTGCAACGCGAGGACTTCATATCAGAATCACATTATTTTATGATGTAACCTCAGTCATAATAATAATAATAACACCCACTGAGGAAGGGATCTTTGTCTAGCCATACCCGAAGTCCAAACTCTGAATCCAACCAAAACAAACGCAACTTGTGATATAAAATAAGGTATGGCATAACAAAACGAACACAGAGGGACTTAAATTTAAGACAAAACGGTGATACCTCATGCATTAATCAAACTTATTAAATTCTACGTGCATGTTATCACTGGCACAAAAACCAAGAGGACCATATTATAAATAATTCTTACATATAGAAAATGTAAATGAAACTAGAACATTTCAATTTCTTATTAATGAAACTAGACTGTGGTTTTAAATGGCTCCCTTATTTTTTGAGAAACGCATCCATCAGCAGCTTAAAAAAATGCTTGAGGAAATTTTTTAGAAAAGAAAAACAGAAAGAAATTACCTGCACTGGCATCACAATTCAAACTAATTCCCCATTGAGAAACACTACCACATCTGATTAAGCAATAAGCATGAAAGTAATTCAGCTGAAGACAATTTCAACTCAAACCTACAAAATTACAAATTAACATGGACTACCACAAAGTTCAAAAGTCAAAACAGAAAATCCTGTGACAGAATAATGAACAATAAATCCACAAAATCTACTGCCTTCAGGAGAAGGTCATCCACCAAACCAGAAAACAAAATCTGGTGCTGAATCTGATCAATGAAAAGCAATGCGAGCTCCATTCTTCACAGTAATCAGACCTTGATTCAAAGCATGCAATCAGTTCTTGCAGGCAGCCTCCTGAAGAAATTCAGCGGCACCGATGGAAGCTTATGACGAAACCTTGGATGTCTCAACACATAAATTCCAGTCAGGAGGGCCACAACTTGGAATGGAGTGACATACAGTACAATAGCAGCAACCAGACAGAAAATCACAAACAGTGACGTAGCTCTCGGATCTCGCCAACTCAGCAAAGACTGCAGCCTTTCCCCCTGAGTGGCTAAGTCCCCAACCACAGTCTGTATCCTCCCAGCAATGCTTCTAAGTCGATCATATCGCATTCTCACCATGTCATTTGGTCGGGAGGTCGGGAATGTGTCAAACTCTTCATCTAGTTCATCAGGATGAGCCGAATCTGCGTGAGAGAGACGAGTGTCCATGTGAGGAGGGTGCCTTGGCCTCCATCTATAGTACCAAATTCCAATCAAGAAGAGGTAAAGGAAAATTGTGGGTAAGATAAGCTCTGGATACATGACCAAAATGATAAACAAGATATGGATCAGAATTGTAGTGATTGGACTCTTCCAATTGCAAATCTGATCAAACCATTTTCCTACAGCAATTAGGCCACTCAAAACTCCCATAATCCTAAAGAAGTTAGCTTTGCTTCTTCTCATACTCCACATGTGGGAACCCACATCCAGCATATATTCCACCACCTCTTTTCTCAGTGGCGGCTCAGCACGACTCAGTCTCATTGAAACAATCTGAGTAGCTTGATGCCTCAAACTGTCAAGCTGGCTAACAGTCAATGGGTGTATATAGTGCATCTTTGGCAACAAGGGTTGTGAATACATGTGCATCATATTGAGCAAAGATGAACAAGTGAACCTCACAGCCAAGTGTATCTCACCCATCTTCTTCACCCCATTTGGGTGAAGAACAAGAAGGGGATAGGAATGCGTATACACCCGATCAGTCTCAAGGGTGGATAGACGAATTCGTACCTTCCCAATCTTTGAATCTTTTGCCCCACCAGCTTTGTCACCACCACCATGTAAATGACAGTTATCAAATACACCAATAGTAATGACAGTGCAAGGATCAAAAACCTCCCAAGTATATTGCTCATTCCACCTCGGTGCAAAGCTATCAATGATTGTCCTAGTTCGCACCCACTTCTGGCCATATTTTGCTACACAATAAGCATCTGTTGTCCCCCTCCCATCTTTTGTTTTCATTGGCATCAAACCCTGAGCATTCAATATTCCCAGTTCTAGAACACCAATACCAGACTTCCACAGCTGCTTCGCAGTTGGGCGAAGATCACTGCTGTAGTGAGTTGATTCATCCAAAACATGATAACCACCCTCCAGGCAAACCCTCATGTGAATCCTGCTGGCAAATTTGGTTTCCTTCTTCTTTTCCCCTTCTACAACAATATGCCTTTCCAGATTGAACCACCTTGTGTTCACAGGTTTGTGATCTAGTCTCCTATCCACAAACTGCAAAGGAATTGCACACCTCCCCAACACTTCATCTTTGTTAGGGGCAACTCTGTCTTCCACACTCAAAATCAGCGGCTCCTCAAACGGTTCTGCAGCTACAAACATCAAATCCTCATTCCACATTGGATTAATACTTCTGCTCTGAGAGATTCTAGTCCTCAAGGCCTGATTTCCCAGAATAGCCTTCACAAAAACCTCAGGGTATCTACCCTTATCAGTTGGTTGCAAGTCTTGTGCCTCTATCACATTAACCCTCAAATACCAAAGCTTAGGAGACAGATACACCTTTGATCTAATGTTAGCAAGAGCATCAGTCCCACTAACAGTGGCAGCATCAGAATGCCAAGCTTCGGGAAATGCCTCATCAGCCTGGGTACCCATCCAAACAGCCAGCATCAGCTCTCCCTTAGCCTTATCACCCTTTCTATCCTCCAATCTATACCACTGTGGCGCCAGAGGGCTATCAGGGGGCACCCGTTTAGGGACCTCATTCAAGTCAAACCAGACACGGCCAATGAAGTCATCCTTCACAACATCCTTATCCTTCACAGTAACCTCCAGCACCGAGGCTTGAAGCCGGTCCTTCGAGAAGGCAAAAACCTGGTTCCACTCGGGATTGGTTTTCTTCTCAAAGTGCCGGGTGGTACCTTTGTAGTTCCCAAGCTTGACTTCAACATAAGGATCACAACTCCCAGTGACATCTTTTGCAGGTAAATCCTTAGCCTTCACAACCCTCACATAAAGGTATTGCATTTGCTCAACAAGATCATAGGTACTGGTAAGTTTATCACCAGAGACCTTTCCCCCACCAAGGTGGGGTTTGGTCTCCTTCAACAGAAAATCTTCAGGTGGAGGCCTCTGCATCTTTCCTCAGTTCAAAGAATGAGAAAACCCAATTCAAAATAATAATCCAAAGCTTAGCACAACAACTTGGATTAAATACAACCGTTCCCAAGAGCCTAAAAAACAGAAAAACACAGTCAAATAGCCGTTACGTGCTCTACCAAACCGAGGCACCTAAAAAATCGGGAAATTTTAAAAACACACAAACTAAAGAAGATATAATCGAGGTAACGCCACTTCAAACTCAAAATAAAAAAAAAGTGTTACTTATAAAAGATAAAACATAAATAGCAATGGCAAACCTAGATCTCAGATTTCACAGAGAGTTCGAAGGCGCAAACGTCTGAAAAAACCAAGAACTTTCTTCGAAGATGTTAGATCCGATTGTTTAACCTGTCAGCATAAACAAAATTAGCGAAAAAACACAAATATTGAGAATGTGCATGTATAATGCAGCACTAGATGAAAAGACAACGTTTCCAAGTTTTGTACTTTCTGCATTTTGAGACATCCATGTGAAAACAACAACTACTTCCTTAACAAGAGAGAGTTTATTCACTGTTTGAAACCACACACAAAACAAAAACACTTCGATTATCCGTGGATTTATGTTCGCATTTAGTCACATTTTCCCAGATTTTATTCTATAAAAAAATAAAATAAAAAATGCATTTATTTTGTACCAAACGCAAACAGTGCTGTCGCCTGGCACACCACACAGAAGAAATCCGAAACGCGACTATGCATGTGAAAATCTGAGAAGGTCTGAGCAAAACCCAAATGACAAAAACGGAAAGGAAAAGAAAAAGGAAAAAAAAAGAAGCAATTTTTATTATTTTCTGCTTTATGCTTTTTGAATGTTGAAGAAGTGAAAATGGCGAAGGATGGGAGAAGAGAGAAAGAAGGTGTACCTTGTTAGAAGGAAGTGGTTGTGAAGTGTGGGAAGGAAAAGGAAGAGCAATGGAGCAAAGTGAGAAATAAAGAGGTGGAGAGAGAAAAATGAGTGTTGTTGGGTCTGGCAAGTGAGAAGATGTTAGGAGATGAGTGTGTGTATTTTTGCTTTTTGGTGTTAGTGTTGTGTGCGTCTAAGCTTTAATTTGTCTGGTTGTGGGGCTAGGATCTGATGAATCTATGCAAAATATACATAGAAGCTCCTACCTTCCCTTTATTGCACAGTGCTGTACCTCTGTGACTGTGAAGTAGTGTTGTTGCTGTACAGGGTGGTGGAGTGCCTGTGGACCCCACTCAAACCCATGTCTACCTCTTACACGTGTGACTTTCACCCTCCCTTCTAAGTTTTCTTTTTTCCCTTTACTAATAATATATCATAATTAAAATTATAAAAATATGTATACCATAGTTTTTTATTATTTTTTATTTTTACTTACATAGATTACAAAATTTTATTTTTTATAATTGATTATTAATTTATCATTTTTTAATACATTTATTTTTTACTTTTGAATTAATCAATTGATATAAATACTTTAACAAACTATTTTATCATATGAAAATATATTTGTTTTAATTGAACATGTGGTTGTGATTAAGACAAAAAAATAAATATTTTTTTATTAATTATAATATTCAATAGTATTAATATATTTAATTATAGGAAATTTTATTTTTAATAAAAATTATTAGATATAATTTTTTATTATATAATATTGTAAAATTAAAAATATACATATTTTAAATAAACAAAAACATTAATAAAAAATAGCAGTTAATATTCTTCAAGTTTTACATAAACAGATAAATAGGAGCAAAATATTTATTTCTCTAAGAGAGATAAAACAAGAACAGAAATAATACATAATAATATTTAATATTATAATTTTTAATAATACATATCAAGGATTTAAGAATTGAAGTATGCAAAATAAAATTTAAAATATAATACAATATTTAAAAAAATTCATGAAATAAAAGAAATGGATTGTGAGAATTAAAGTGAAAAGTGTAAAATGTAAAAGAATGTGTCATTGGATTCTTAACAAGGAAGGGTTATAGTTGCATAATGAAGTTGGACAAAAATGGAATTTGAATAATGGAATATTTATTGAAGGCGCTGGGAAAATTGGTAGGTACTTTGATGATTAAATTAAGAAACTAGGCTCCCTTGTGGCCCACTAATCATACTTGTTTTGAATTCATAATACTACTCAACGGTTATTCATTCTACTTAGTAAACTCTCCATACTCTTTTCAGAACCCTTATTAATTCATCCATAACTTGCAATTTGCAAATCTGGGGACAAGTTTGCCCATGCACATATTTTTATTTCATTTCTATTTATAATTTCTTAGTGTCATTTTTTCTAATGAGACAATTTTTACTTTTTAGGATTTAGAGAGAGATAAATGTACATATATATTTAGTTATCATAGATATTAATAAATATATAAATTTTATTATTATAAGATTGTCATAAAATTATGGTATTAAAATATTATTTGCTTATAATATAATAACTGATTAATTTTCTGTAATATAATAAATCATTTCATTAGATAAATAATTAGAATAATTTTTTATCATATTTTTTTGTATTTATTTTATTACAGTCAATCAATGATTGTCTTATTGTTATATATGAATCTATTGTATATAAAATAAAATAATTATTAAAATTGTTTGATAAAAATATTTTTAATGATATATATATATATATATATATATTTCTACTAACATAATAAAATATTAAAAATTATAATTATAGTGTAATAATAAATATTTTTGGTATCATAGTTTAACATTTTGTTTTCTATTCTTTTTCTTAATTATTATTATATTCATTTTGATGGTTATTGTTGTTATTTTAAAAATAAACAATTTTATATATTTATTCTTCAATCATGATGAGTTTTAAAGATTAAGATATTCTACTTCTCTCTCTTTAAGGAGACAATAATTTTTATATAAAAATAATTTAAAAATATTACAATTTAAACAAAATATATATATCTATTGTAAAATTATATTAACAGTATAGTGTAATTAAATTATTTTATCAAAAATAAAATACAATCGGTTAATATTCTAATTATTTTCTTTTATTAGTTTACTAAAAAAATTATTTAAAAAATAGTATTTTTTACATTATATTATTATTTATAAAACTAAAATATTTATTTTAACAATTTTATTTTGTAAAAGAGTTGAGAATAATTTTATGATTAAGTAAAAATATTTTACTATGACAATATACTATTAAAAAAAATTAGAAAAAAAATTATGTAAAAATTAATCATAGTAATCATATAATGACTGGTTATTTTTTTTAGTAAAATAATATTTAAAATATATTATGTCTTATATTATAGTAAAAATATATAATTTATATTTGTTTTATTTTACAAAAGCTTTTATAAACTACAACAAGTATCAAGATAATGATACTAAAAATTTAATGAGTTTATGTACAATTTTAGATTTCACATATGTGATATAGATCATTAGTGGTGCTACGTTAAAAGGTATGTTGATAATTATTTTATTATTATTTTATATTTTGATGAGATGTTAATTACGAGGTTCAATATGACAAAAATTAATAAGTTAAAGCAACAATCAACAAAAAGTTTTGAGATAAATAATTTTTGTTCAACTAAACAAACTCTTAATATGGAAATATTTATAAACGGATTGGAAGGTATTTTGAAATCATGTTAAGAGAAATATATAGAAAATTTATTTAATAGGTTTAATGTTAGAAATGCTAAGAATAAAAATACTCCTTATGAACTCACTTATAATTTTTAAATAAGTAATTTTCGTAGACAAATGAGAAAGAAAGTTATGTCAAAAGTATCATATGCATTAACATTAAAGAGCTTTATGTATACTATGTTATGTATCGAACTTGATAAAGTATATGCAATAAGAGTTCTTAGTAGATTGCTATCAAATCTTAGAAAGAAACATTATAAAGGTATAAAGTAAATATTGAGATATTTGAATGAAACTTCAAATATATTTATATTTTGTCAAAAATAATTTCACTTTAATAAAATTCATTAATGTGATTTTATGAAGAGACTTAGAAAAGTAAAAAAAAAAAAAACACAAAATATTTTTACCTTAAGTAATACTTATGTAAGTTAGAAGTCTAAACTTTAAAATAAAATTATTTTCTTAGCTATTGAAATCGAGTATATAACTATCTTAAAAGAAGCAGACAAAGAAATACTATGATTAAAAAATTTCTTAAAGAATTAAAAAAGAATAAGATGATAACTTGAAGTTTTGTATTACTTGAACCGACTTTTGAGAATAATTAATTATAAAAGTATTACAATGACACATAAATTTACTATTTACAAGAAATTAATGTAAATCAAACTCCAAATGAATGAAAGATTAGAATTGTATAGTCTAATTTAGTTTCATTAGTTATTGTTAATAAACTTTTATTTTATTATTATTATTATTATTATATAAATAACTAGTTAAAATGCTTTTTAAAATATCTTATAAATAAAATATTTTTTTCAGCATAGTCATACTTAAGTACATAAATTGTGTATTAAACTATGTTAAATTATTGTGTGAATTCTTTCTTTTTATTTTTTTTTATTTCCTCCAGCACTCTGACCTCACCTATTCATCAACATTTTTGTGTTTATTTATCTATTCATCAACACTATCGATTTGGATTAAATAAAGAGAAAAAATATATACAAAATCAATTCAATCCATGAGATTTTAACTAATTTGTTCTTTTTTATACCAAAATTAATTCAACATAACGCATAAACACTCCTAATTAATACAATAATTCTTATGCAATTCACTTTGGTAAAATACCATGCCAACCTGGAGGGTTTCGTTATGCGTGTAATGGCCAACATGTGTGGCTTTTGTGGCTCCCAATTCAATTCGTTGGTGCAAGGCATTCAATTGCAGATATTGTTTTTCGTAGTTAAGTAAAAATGCTAAAAATTAAGATGATCAAAGTGAAATTGTTTGATTACGTCAAATTTGATGGAGTTAGAAGAAGCGTGTGTTTGATTTTAAATTAAAAAAATATATAGATTCATTAATTATATTTTTTTTAACATTTTTCTAAATTCACACGAAAATGCAATGTACTGAGGAACGTGATGCTCGATTGATGTCAAATATATCTTCAATTTTTTTTTCCGAAAGAGGCATGTTAACTGGTCGAATGAGATATGGAACAGTAGCAAAGGTGGATTTATCTGGAGTATAACGGAATAAATTTTTCAGGGATTTAATTAAAATAATTAAAAATTTAAGGATTATCTTAAATTATTTTATATTATGAAGACTTAATAATAAAATACAATGAAACTACAACGACCTATTAATTAATTGAACTTAGTTTTTAATAAAAAAATAATTTTAAATACTAATTTATGTTAGTAAATTGATAAAAATAGTTTAATTAGTAAAAAATTATTGAATAATAATTTATGAATGTTTACTATACTTGGATTTGATTAAGAAAATATAAAACTTAATTAAAATAATTTAAAATCACCTTTTATTAGATAACAAATAAAAGATAAATAGTATTTTAATGTAATAAAAAAGCTGGTAAGACACGAATAAAAGAAACATGTGACTTAACAAAAAAGAAATATAAATTTCAAGTTTAACAATTTCTTTAAAAATTCAAACAATTTTTTTTAAAATAAATACTTCCAACACGTCCAGTTTACCAAAGAAAAGGGAAAAAGATAAATCCGCAGGTTGAAGTAAGTTGAAGCTCGTGACTCGCGTGCTGTGGCTGAGTCTGAGATTTTCATGTCGTAGAGAGAGTGATGCGAAGTTGAAATCGGAATTCGTAGTAAATTCTCTTCTGTCGTTGAATTTTTGATCCATTCGCAATGCACACTCCCGATGACGTTCGTAACCTTCCCATCGATATCACCTTCTCTCGACTTGGAGGTTCCCAAATTTATCATCATCATTATTATTATTTTTAATTTCAGTTATCAATTTCTGAATTTGAGTTTGTGAACTTTGAAGAATGGTTGGTCGATCGCAAGAGGGTACCCGCGGATTGGCGTAAGCGCGTGGCGGCGATCAGGGCTCGAATTTCCAAGGAATTTTCCTCCCTCCCTAAAGACTCTGACCCTTTTTTCCAAAACCTAGACCCTGAAGGTTTATTATGCCCAAGGAAAATTTAAATATAAAAAAGAAAATTTTATTTTTTATGTTGACAAAAATGTGTTTTTATTTATATATTCACTCAGGTATAAATTTTGGTGGCTACATTAAATAATTGATATGATAAAATTTGCATTGCTATTTTCAGGGATTGGTTATTTGGAGGCCAAACAGATATATGATATTCTCCTGAAGTCTACTTCGGAAAGTAGGAACATATTTGGTCGGCTATCAGGTGCTGCGGTAAGATGGCCTTCTTTGTTTTAGATTAAGGGTGTGTTTGAAAACACAGTTTAATTAATTGCTTATTCAATAAACTCTTATTCCGTGAGGGCTTATATCATATATTTGACCATAAAATTTATTGGAATAAGATGAATAAGTTATTTTGAATAACTTATTGAAATAATCTGAGAAGAGCTTGTAAAATGCATAAGTTATTTCTGTTAGCTCTTCCAAAGAAGACCTAAATTTAGGGAAGAAATTGTTTTATTTATTTTCACATGCTCTCTCAGTGTCTTAGTAAGTTGTGAAAAGAAAAAAATGTTTATTTTTTCAAAGACACTTTCTGTTATCATTCATGCTATGTATAAGTTTTTTTTATTGTTAGTTGTGATTTTTTTGGTAGGGTGCATGGGAAGCAATTGTGCGATCCTTTGAGAAGGATCATGTTTTCCTTGGTGAGGCTGCACAGATTATGACTCAAAATGTGAACTATGAAATGTAAACATTGTGAACTTTCGTTACATTTTATGAACAAATCATGTGCAAGCGCAAGTGTTATTCTGTTTCTTTAGAGGATTTGGTTTCAGCCACTTGAGTGTTTGTTTCTGTTGTGAAGCCATTATCAGAGAAAACAGGTGCAGAAGATTCAGCAGCAGCTGTTAGAACTAGATCGCAAGGAGGCTGATATAAAAAGAAGTGCCGCTCTCTCTGCAACAAAATATGCTGAAGCTTGTCAGGAGCTTGGCTTACAGGTTTGTATTTTTGGGGTCTTTGTGCCGTGTAGATATCAGTTCATTTTTCTGCTACAAGGGGGGGTCATGATTATTTTGTCTTGCAGGGGAAAAATGTCCGACTTGAACTTTTGGAGACAGCAAAATCACTTCCAAGCACGTTTAGCAGGATTCTTGATGTCGTAAACAGTGACAACATGTCAAGGGCGATTGAATATTATTCCAATTTTGTCAGCGATGCTCACACTGAAAAGGATGTAAGCCAAAACTAGAACTCTTATTCATTTTGTAGCTCTCATTAATACTCAATGCATTGTTCTGTAACTCTTTTTATTGATGTCACTACTAGGAAGGGATTAGGTTAGGATTGACATTGTTCAGTGTATACAGTATTTAAGATGAAAATCGTGACTGCAGAGATCTTCAGGAGCTGTATTACAAAACTTGAGGAATATGCGTGAAAATCCCCCATCTCTAAATGTTGCTGTTGACTCTGAGATTATTAATGATGCTACTGTTCATTCAAGCAAAAATGAACTGAATCCTGCGACAAGCAATTTGGAAATTGCTGCACCTGAGATTGACTGGGATATTGCCGTCGAGGGTTCACAAATTGATTGGGATATTGGAACCGTAGAAGAAACAGAAGATGCTGGTAATGGCTTGGGTCCTTATGAAATAATTAATGCCTCTGATGTCATACAGACTTGTTCACAAACTGAGGATGTCGGATCTGATCCAACAATATCAAACCAAGAACTAGGCTCTCATGCAGATATATCTTGGGATATTAGTGTGGAGACTCCTCAAGTTGATGTGATTGATGATGATAGTGCTGCCCCAACAGTCTTGCTGGAGAATCAGACTTCTCTTCCAGATACCTTATCTCAATTGACTGAAAACAAGAAAGAAAGGAGCCAGCTTTTAGATACAGAGTATAGAAATAAGATTCTTGATGATCTGTATGAGGTATACGATATCTATCCTAAATTACTGTCTTTACTATGTTTGTGGTTTTGATAATATAATTTCAAAAACATTATATTACACCCGTACAAAGATTGAAAGAAACACAATTATAACAAATTGTGTTTCATTTCTTTTACTGGTAAACAGTTACCTGCTCTATATGAATTTGTTTGTTTGATGACATTCTTATTTTGAGATTAGATCTTAAATTTGTAATGATTTTTATATGCCATCAGATGAAATCTTTTTTAAGTCAACGGTTGGCTGAATTGAGGAATGAAGAAACTTTGTCCCTGCAACATCAAGTCCAGGCAGTTGCTCCCTTTGTACTACAGCAGTATGCTGCTGATGCTATAGAAATGATGCAAAGTGATATTTCTTTGGCAATTTCATTGCTGACAAATCGGAAGACAAGAGATCTGATCATGATTCTCAACTCCAAAAGGTACTGCTTGATATTTTGTACCTAAGATTTTATGCTTACGGGACATGTTCATCAAGTTAAATCATGCTGTAACAATTTTCTTCTCTTCTTTTTTTATTGGAACTTCTATGATGACTAAATGGAGTTGAAATTTGGCCTTCATAATGGCAACTAATTATAAGAAATTATGACTAAATGCTTAAAAATATAATAATACTTTATGTGTCTCTTCTTTCTTGACTAGTATTCCTATTGTATCTGATCTTTGTGTTAATTGATTGAGATGTTGGGCCAATTTTCAGATTTCTAGACAGGCTGGTCAATTCATTAGAGGAAAAAAAGCATCATGAAGTCAAGTTGAAAGAGGGGTTGAAAGACTTGGCTGCTAAACGTATGGAACTGCACAATTCGTTATCTTCATCATGGCCAAAGCAAGTAAGTTCTACCTTTCTGTGACTACTCTTCTTCGTGAGGGGAGAGTACACCATCTCACCACCAAAAAATATGTTCGTTTTGTAGCAAAAGAAGTAACATTTGAGCTCTATCCTTGCTGTCTGAACTATCTGACTTAGATTAGGTATTGGCCGGTTAGTTATAATTTAGGATTCATCTCTTCTTGCCCCCATTCCCCATCGTGCTATTTCAGCTACTTGGTTGTGTTAGGGGGAATCAATTTTCTGTTCTGAATTGAGTTTTTAATTTAAATGATTATAGATGAAAATTTTAAGTTTATATGTGATGACAAACATTTCAACATTCAGAAAAAGATAAAATAAAGATCAAAGAAAAGAAAATATGAAAATAGTTTATCATTCATTCACATTGTGTTTGGTTTAACTTATTTCGAAGGAATAATTGTGTTTCTTCTTGCTAGCTTCGTGAGAGAGCTTTTGGAAGAAAAAATTCTCTGGAAAAAATATTACCAAACATGCAAGTTTTCTGTTTGGGATTTTCTTTCAGGAGTGAGATTATTATTACTATTTTTAAATAAGAACAAATGAGTACTTCAATCTTGCATGACAGGTAGCAGACATCGAGGTAAGAAGAGAGAGTGAGCATCATTAGCCATCTGTAAAATAGTAGTGTCACTGATTTACCCTCATTTTTTATAAGCAGTACAAATTATAATCTCTCTTTCTCTCCATTCCCCTTATTCTTAATTCTTTGCTACCCAAGCAGACAAAAAAACTCTGTTCCATTTGCTTCTTTTGACAACTGAACTTTACATGCTATTTTCCCCTCTCAACTGGCCCCTGTTCTTTTACAAGAGACGGATTAACTATTGAGTGAATTGCAGGATGCGGCTCTGGCAAAAACAAAGGAGCTGAAGAAACTGTGTGAGAGTAAGCTTTCATCAATGTTTGATGGAAGACCAGTTAATATAATCGGAGAGATCAACACTCTTTTGACTAGTGGCCTTGGAGCATGAAAAGAAGATTCCTTGATGATCAAACCTTTGGCGGATAATGGCTTAAGCCAAAATAACTTGCGAGAAGTTCCTTTTTGTTCTTATTTTTTACATTACCTGTTCATTATTTACAATGAACTTTGACAATGCGCTGATAATTCTTACTGATATGAATGAAATAACTTTTGGCACTCGGCCATTTTGAAGTTGTTTCCATGATGTTACAAGCATAAGATACTGGATGCAATTTATTTGCTTATTATTATTAATATTATTTTTGAATTTCAAAGTCATGCTCATGACAAGTTTAGGCACCGTTTTCACATGGTTGTGAGAGGCAATGGAACCCTAGTGAGAGCAAAAGCGACAAGGAGGGCCCTTATGAGAGCCAAGGTAACAAAAGCAGTGTTTCGCATGAGAGTCAAGACACCTGAGCAAGTTGCTAAAAGCTAAGGCGACCACAAGAGACAGACAGGAATGCGATGCAACCAGCGCAAGGTGACATGCTAAGGGGTATACTATCAGCTACTTATTTTGTTCCTTGATATACCCTACTATTCAATTTGTTTGCTACATATAATTTTTGGACCATTTTACTTCAACACGTCATTTTTGGGTTCCGACCATGTCTGAGGAGGAAGCTTTGTGTGCATAGCCAGCAGGCCCAGTACTCTGCTTCTACATTGCATTGTCGGACATACCCTCTGTAACTGAAAGTTAATTTTAATGATTTTGTTTCTAAACTACACTATTCGAATTTGGATCCTTTCATATTACAAAGTAATATGATTATGTTGGAGAGAAAATGACATAACTTTTATTAATCAAAGATCATAAGTTTTATGATCTAATTTTAAAAAAAAATATTCATAACTCACTATTTAATACAGTTTTCAATACTCACTATTTTTAATATTCTTGGTTGAATGTTTCAGAATTACTAAAAAATTAATACTTTAAAGTATATTAGAGAATGTTGTGAACATGAAAAATATTTTTTTTCTGTCTAGCATGATAATATCATGTTTTTACTCAATAATATAAATGGATTTATATATGATTTTTCTTATTTTAATTTAAATGATTAAACTTATTACTACATTGAAGGGATTGACGCACTTTTGTACTTCGAATCAAAGATAAGCTCGCGTTCATCCTCCCTCGATATGCTTGATCAAAAGCTATGGTGTGTTGTGCGATTATGCACATAGTAAAGAAAAAAAAAAGGAAGGAAGAAGTAAATTATGTGATAGAAAAAGAAGAGATATACAAATAAGGCTTAAATATGTTATTAGTCCTTATAAATGTATGTCGTTTTGTGATAAGTCTCTGTAAATATTTTTTGTTAGAATGTCATCTTTGAAAAATAAAAAATTTAGAATTTAGTTTCTATTGTTAGTTATCTCTTTGTAAAGTATTGAGCTGACTAATGTTTATGTGACATGTCACGTCATTTATTATTATTATTTTATTAAAATTTAAAAATAAGTCTCTAAACTTATTTTATATAATTGCATAAAAGTCTTTTCTCTTTTTCTCACTCTTTCCTCACCACTTCCTCTTTTCCACCACCCCTCTCTCTCACCCACTCTAATTCTTTCATCTGCACCACCCCCTTCTCCTTCTCTACCACCCATTTCTCCCACTCCTTCCCCACATTCTTCTTTCTCCAACACCCATACTTTTATCTCCCTCTAATACTCACACTCATTTTTCACATCTACATTACTCTTTTCCCTTCTCCACATCCCTTTCTCTTTAACACCTACACTCCTACCACCATCTGCACCACCCATTTTCTCACCTCTTTCCTTTCTTTTATCCACGCTATTCCCACACTCCCACCCCCACCCCTTTCCCTTCCCCGCATCTTTCTCCCTCCAACACCTACACACATTCCTCACATTTGTACCACCTCTCTCTCACCCCAAACAAAATTTGACATATTAAACTTTTCTGCTAGCTCAATAATGTCCACAACTATCTTTCTCACATTTTCCATATTACCATCATTTTTATGGCAAGTTGGCGATTTTGGAGGTTAAAATGACGACACAATGGAGAGAATCGAGAAAGAGTTGAATGATGAGACTATAGCGAATGGAGAAAGAGTGGAAACTTTGGTGGGATAAGTGGGAGATGTAGTGAAAATGACAAAGGGGAGGGGGAAGGGGGTGGAAAGAAGGGGCGCTAGAAGGGGGTTGTGAAGGATGGGGAGGGGGAGGGACTGTGGAGAAGAAAAAAAGAAAGTACAAGGAAATTTTATACAATTATCTAAAAAATGTTTATGACTTATTTGTAAATACTAATTTTAAATAAAATAATAAATAATAAATGATGTGTCATGTCACATAGGATATGACTGAATCTCAAGATGGTCACGTGAAGTGCTGAACTGGCTAATAGAGAGCCAATTTAGCACTTAATAGAGGAGCTAACAATAATGATTAAATCTTAAATTTTTAACTTTTTAAGGACTACATCCTAACACAAAATTTTATAGAGACTTATCACAAAATAACTTATATTTATACAGACCAATAATATATTTAAACCTATAAAAAAAGAAAGATAAAAAATAGATACAAGAGAAAGTAGATATGTAAATATAGTTACATGTGTGATAATTGGTATTTATAGATTTAACAGTTTTTGCATGTTATTAAGGCCTCCAATCGAAAGGATCAATTATTATTATTATAATTATAAATTAGGTTAAAGGGACCAAATTTTTTAAAGGGGTATCACTTATTCTTAAAAAAATTGTTATTTTTTTTTAGTTTAAGGGCATCACTTATCTTTAAAAAAAAAACTCACAAAATTAATAAAAATGAGTAAATAATTGTTTTTTAAATAAACTGAATTAAACATGTATCTCATATTTGCTCAAGTTATGTTGGAACCCAAAAAAAAATAAAATATATTACTAAAGTTAAGCAAATCACTTCGATGGTACAAAAAAAGCTTGATGATGACACAGTATAAATTTGTATACTTATTTTAGAAAAGTATTCATTAATTTTTCAAAAAAACTTTTGTAGACATTTTCTTAAAAATAATATGTTCCAAACGCGCATTGAAACATTTCCATAGGTGAGTTTCTAGCTAATTCATGCAGTAAGGTTTCACAAACGAATTAAAAGTCTGTACCACTTTGATACAAAAAGAACAGAAATCAGCTTAAATTTCATGGCACGTTAATGCAACCAGTTTACGCTAAAGTGTGGCTCCTGTGTCGCCAAGTAACAGCATGTTTGGTTTCAACTTTCAAGTTAGGACGTAGGTGAATTCACGATTACTTTAACAGCACCAGTTATAGCTTCTAAATTGAATTCACGTTTACAAGTTTTTTAAAGTGTTCCACACACAAAGTACATCAAGCGGATACATAGCTCATCGCGGGTGAAGACACAAAGCGGGAATTGGTTGTACGGAATGACCTCTCAAGTGGATCAAGTTCAGTACCATCTGCTACGCCGCTCTTTGACACGAACTTTTGAGAAAAAGATACAAGAGAATCCACGATTTCAGACATTGGAGGTCGGAATTCCTTTACAGGCTGTATGAAAGTCACGTGTTCCATTGCAACCCAAAGAAAAAGAGTGAATATAATTTGAAGCACCAAAATAACAACACACAATCATGAATAAAACTTGATATTTTAGTGCTAAATATGGTAATAATACCTGAATGCAGAGGGAAACAATATCAGCATAACGCGAAAGAGCCTTGGATGGAAATGTCCTTCTAATTGACGGATCCACCATCTGTTCCAAACTCTCGTTGTCATGAAGCCTTGACGAAGCCCATGTTGCTAGATATTGCTCTTCCCTTGGCCTGAAACTGTGTTGCAAGAGAAACAACAGGCCATCATTCAACAATCCCTTAAAAATGAAATGCCGCAAGATATATGGAAAGCATACCCATCGAAAGGTTTTCTTGCGGTTAACAGTTCAAGAAGTAGCACTCCAAAGGCGAAAATGTCACTCTTCGTGCAGCCATTTGCTGGCTCGCCATGATCAGGTGAACTGTATCCTGTATCTCTAATAGCAATCTCAGAAGCCTGTTTCAACAGTCACCGAATTAATCAGTGAACCTATGTCCATGGCACACTAAATATCAAGGTTCTGGTTCATTTCACCCAATGAACAAGAGCAAGGAACACCTTATGCTCACAATGGGACATCCGTTTATCGGTTTTTTAAGAGGAGTTATTTTTAAGAAGTTAAAACGAATAGATCATTCAAAAGATAAACGCAATTGTGAGCATTGAGCAAATGTAACAGTTGTCTATGAATGGACACATTAAACATGATGCGATGCTGATTCTCGCAAAAACTCACTCGAATTTTTACTTTATTGCCTGTTAGTGGTCTCAAACTAGCCAAGCCACAGTCAGTAACACGAGGCATAAGATTTTCGTCCAGTAGAATATTGGTAGCCTTCAAGTTGCCATGAGCGACGGGAGGGGAGAACGTGGAGTGCAAATAGCTGTAAACATGGGGTATGTCACGGTTGACTGAAAAGACAGGATTCTACTTTTATATTTAACAAGAAACAAATTTGAGTCGCAACTTTGGACTTACTCCAGAGCCTGAGCAACTCCTAGAGCAATTCGGAGGCGGATGCCCCATGATAAAGGTTTATATGCAGCACAGTGAAGAGCTTGGTCCAGAGTTAAATTTCTGACATAATCGTAGACAAGAAGATGCTGTCCGTGCTCCAAACAGTAACCTTTAAGTGCAACAAGATTAGGGTGCTTCAGACGGGAAGCGGTACAAACAACATCTAAGAACTTTTCCTCTTCACTGAATGACAATCCCGCCATGTTGATATTTTTCACGGCTAAAACCTTATAAAAAAAAAAAGGAAGGATGAGTAATAGATTGAAGGCAACAATATTGAAATCTGAACGTGATTTACTGTTTAGAAGGTACCTTGTTATCTGGAAATTCAGCTCTGTAAACAGGGCCAAGGGATCCCTCTCCCAGAAGGTTGTTTTCATTGAAACTGTTTGTGACCAACTGAATCTCCGCTACTGTATAAACCTTTGTCCTTCTTGTGTATCTATCTCTTTCGGAAAAACTTCTTCTTGACGTTTCTCCTGTTCTTTTATGGTGCTGGGTAGGTAATCGCCTTGGAGTTGGACCCAAAAGGGACGCACCATTGAAAGGTGGGATTTCCAGGCTCTCATCTATTGCCGTAGATGAGACCTCTATCGCATTAAATATGGAGGGAAAAAAACATGATTAAAGATGGAAATGAATTTACAGAACTGGTAAATGGAATGACATCCTGACATGTGAAACTGAAACAGAAAGAAATCGAGTGGAAGAAAAGGCGGGTGAACAATGGAGGGAAATTTGACAATGTATTGCAAATTTTTACTCACTCCCGTTCTACCTATTCAATTCAATCATTTTAATGCTGAATCTGTAAGAATTATACATGTTAATTGTTTGGATATAGAGTCATATGGTGTTTGGCCTTCACCATCTATATGCTTCTCTGTAAGAATTACCTTTGGTTGCACTGATCGGATAAGAAGGCAATGAATTATGGCTACTTTCTTGTCTCTGTGTATGATGTCTATTCAAATGGATTGCAACGAAGAGCGCAAACGCTGTTGCCAATAATGTTCCTCCACCAACCATAAAAGCTATTCCTCCGGGACCCATACGTTTTTTCTTTTGTTTCCTTACTTTAGGATGAACATAGTTCTCGATGGCATTTGCCTGAGTCGTGGGAGGGCGAGTTGTATTTTGTTCAATGGGTACATTGTCCAAAGGAAATGCCCAGGGAGGAGAGTCCTCCACTGGATGGAACCTGTTCCCTCCAATCCTATTTGAGTGGGATTTTCGATTTTAGGTATCCATTAGTTCATAACCAATAAAGAAACAAACGGTGATAAAAACTGGTAATAGTTAATACAACTAACCATAAGTTTGGTATGGACTGAAAATGCTGTGGAAGAATGCCACTGAACAAATTGTCTTGAATGTTCCTGACAAAATAGACAAATTAGCAAATAATAGAACTGTATCCATACAATGTGAAAAATATATAGGGATAACCCACAAATCAATGAGTGGAAGCTCAGCTAGGTAGGTGACTGATCCAGTGAATCTGTTATTCTGGAGGAACCTGCAAATAAGCACCATGCTACAGATCAAACCAACATGATCCTATACAAGAAAATTCCTGTCTGAGTATAAGATGAAACCCAAATCAAGTTTAGGAAACGAGTGGGGGTGTAAGACAGATGAAACTTACAATCTATCAAGGTTTGTCAAGGAACCAAACGAACTTGGCAGATCCCCGGTAAAATTATTATATGAAAGGTCCCTGACGATAGGAAAACATCCTTTGTGAGTTGAAAGATTTAGATTTGAACAAATTGTCAAAACATCTACATTTACTGCCTTACTTTCTCCTGACCCAATCTAATATTTATTATTTAGCCTAATCACTGGGCTTCACTTCACCGAACCTTAAACTTAGAGCGTTTTAATTTTTAAAAAAGCAGCACCTTTTTCTTATGCTTCTCAATTCTCAACTGTCATATGAATTTACAACAAAAAAGTGACAATTATGGATGGGCTATGCTTTCTGACTTTTGGCTTATTTTAACTCTTGTATTTTAATTTTTTTATATCGAACATTTATTGTATTTTATATGATTGCACATTACTACTTTTTTGCCCTTAAAAATTGAAAGTTGGAAGGTTTCGATAGGCTTAATCGTTTGTTCCTACAGATCCAGCAAATTCAAGATTAGTAATTTACAGAAAATCCTATCTATTGAAACGGTTTAGGTTTTAGGCTCGTAAAATTTATTACTCAATGAATCACTTATTCCCTTTATTTTGATTCAAATGTAATAATAGCAGAAGACTCGGGTAAAGAAGACATACATTTCTTTGAGATTATCTAAGCCGGTAAACACATTGCCAATGGGTCCAAATAAGAAATTGTGGCTTAAATTCCTGCAAGACAAGAAGTGATGATTGCGCTGTATCATACTCAACAGAGATGAGAAATATGAAGAAACAAGTTAATGAATGTTTTGGTTAGTAAGAGCATTCTATTGTTTGTCTTCCAACAAGCTTGGACTAAAATCAATACTGATTGAACTTACAGATGTCTTAGTTTTTTCATTGTTGATAACGAATGGGGAATATTTTGGCTCAAGTAATTGCAAGCCATATTTCTGCAATAAAGAAGAATCATCAGAAAAATACAATGCTGAAGATACAGGTATACTCACCGGTAAGCATAGAACTTTAGTCACGCAGGAACAAAAAAGTACAGTAGGCTTACATATGTGTGGCATTCGGGGGTAAACCCTCTGGTATTTCGCCCACTATGTTGTTAGAACTGACATCACTAGAGAAACCAGAATATGCAAGTAAGTAAATCGCGAATCTGGACAATAAACCATCCCCATAAGAAAATAAAACTATACAGTTGCTTACAGCTGCTTTAAGTTTTGTAGATTATTGAGAAAGCCTCCAAGATACCCGGTAAGGTTCAATCCCTTAATTTTGCTGCATGAAGAAGAGAGAAGGTATAAGGTATACTGTATTAGTGACGTTATAATCTATCATCAGTAGAGTCGGTGTATTACAGGTGTATAACAGAAGACCCAGAACATGCTACTCCCATCCAAGATTCCTCACAAGGATCATAACCGTTCCATCCATGCAGCACCGGTGGGCTGTTTAAGGCCCTGTATAGATCCTGGAGAGCTGTGACTGTTTATAACAATTGCAAAAAGGTATATAGTTTAGTGAGAGCAGAAAGCTAAGCGAAGTGTGAGAGCTATACCAAAATGAGTTCAATATTTCGAGATTGATGGTCAAGGTTTTTCATTAATTTTCAAGTACATGGATTTTCTATTTCTCTGTCTAAATCTGTCATTTTCAAGTTATCTCTGTCTGAATTCAACAATGATACTGTTATTATTCTGTCAAAGCAAGTTAAATGGACCGTAGTTTTAGAAATACTAATAATATTTTTTTTTCTAACGTGTGTCTAAGCAAATATAATAAGAAATTAATAAATAGTAATTTTTATTAAAAATTATTACATTTAATGTTATTCATGAATTGAATTATGTAGTTTTTAATAAAACATTATTTGATATATGTGTGTATTTGAGTGTCCTTGTAATAAAAGCTAAATCCTGAAACCAATATGCCGGAGAAAATCTCAATTAAGAGTAACATAAAAGGCATGAAGACAGCTATTATGTGTAGCGTACAATCACAGAATATACGTTCATTATGCAAACACAGTGAGAAAACTGCACAAAAAGGAAACTATACACAGTCTCCCGAATCCTAAATCGCATAATTTTCTTCAATGTTATCATGAAATTAATTAGAAAATTCGAAGACAACGAAAAAGTTATTCAACCAATTTTTCATTCATTTTCAAGAAAAGTTTACATAGAATAGTTTAACAATCAAGAATGACGACGTGATTACCGTCAGGGGGATCAGTATACGCCAGACCCTGCAAAATCAAAGTTGCGGAGAAGAGAAAGACGACGAGATTGACGTAGACGTAGTTGCAAACCATTTCCTTCTATTTTTCCACTGCTTTCTCGGTTCCCAAACACACAAGTGGATTGAATTGAATTGAATTAAACGAAGAAGAGAAAAAGAATTCAAGATTAAAGTTTTGAATGATGCTGATTCTTCCTTTTGAGTGACACGGTCATCGTGACTCTGAACGAGCTTCGTGATGTTTCTTTAGCTATTTGCACAGTGTGCAATTACAGTTGCAAGAGATAGTTTCTGGTAAGGTGGGGTCCATGCTTTTGAGTTCGTTATAGTTAGTTTATTTTGGCGCGCAATGGCCATGTGTATGTGTGTGTCTGTTTTATTTTAACATTTTCATACTGGGAGCGGCTTTGTACAACGAAAAACCTGATGCATCAACTAACAAATTTTTTTAATATATTTAAAACTAACATATTTTTAAATATATTTAAATATTATTTAAAAAATTATTAAAAATTATAAATTTATGAGTGAGATTTATTAAGTTGAAAATAAAATTCATAATATTTTTATAATTTTTAATAAATTTTATCCAATAAAAATTATATTTAAAAAAGTGCATTGTTAAACATTTTTCTTATGCAAATTATTACCTTATAGACACAATTATCATCCAATTTGTGTGGTTAAAAACTTCGAACCATCTTTATAAAAAAATAAAGGTAGTATGATCATTATCTTCTAAAAAATGACAATAGAAAATTCTATTTATAATATATTTTGTTTTTATGAGGGTTTGATAACACAAACTTGTAGTTATCTATTAAGTAGTAAAGTTGTTCAATGAATACAAAACTAATATATATATAACTTTTGAAAGTTAACTTTTAAAAATTTATTTAAAGTAATTTTTAATTTTAAAAATTAATAACTAATGATTTATTTTTTATTTTTACTCATAGTTTTTTAATAACTTATATAATAATTACAGATTTTTTTAATACATTTAAGCTTTGTACAACTAGTTTTATTAGACATCTTTTTTTTTTTTTTGCTAATATTAGACATCTTTAATTCAAATAGACTAGTTACACAATTATAAATTTTAGTTACAAGTTATATCTTCATAGTTATAAATTTGCATTCTCAGTTAAGTTTTTAAATTTTGGTTGTTATATTTTTCTTTAAAAAATAATATCAGTCAGTATTTTGTGGTAATGCAATTTATAATTAGTGAGGTTAAGTCAATGACCATTCTAAGGTGGCAAATGAGATGACATATTTAAATGCATATCACATTATCAATAAGTGGTAACAACAATTATTTTTAAAAAAATATTAAAACTAAATTTCATCATATTTATAAAAAAAAAAAAAAAACATTTTATCCTATAGGTAATTTGTGGTCTTCTATCAATTTATTTGGTGGAAAATAAAATTAGGCTTGGGTTGGCAAACGTAAGCAAAATCAAGGTTAACTAAATAAAAAAGTATTTTTCTTTTCATTTTGTGTTAAGTTTGTTTGCAAATAGTTTTATTATTTGTGGGCTTTTAATTTGATGACCAAAATCTTGTAGGTTGAACCCAATTCAAGGAATTAATTACTTATGGGCTTGATAGAGCCCACAGTAGGTACGTTCATGATCAGGGTTCGTCTTCTGAAGCCCACTGTGGGTTATGTTCGCCATGGATGAATCACCGGCAAAGAGGGAGAACCAAAACGGAGGACAAGGAAACGAAGAAGAAGATGACTACATGGGTGACCTTTCTCAGTTTCTTCCTTCCGAACCTCCAAAGTTGTCTTCATCCAAAAAGGTAACTCGTTCCCTTCCCGTTTTACCTATCTCCGTTGTCGTTTTGATTCTGCCACGCCGTTTGAGAGAATCATACGCACTCAAAGTAGCAAGAGACGCATAACATATAACAAGTCAAGTATTTGAATAAAATTAGGTCTTCGAGTGTTCCCCTCTCCCATGACCATCTAGTCGTATCACATCATTTTACGATTTGGTCTTGCAATTTAAGCTCAAATTCTGAAAAACAAAAAATGGTGCTTGATGTAATTGCTCATCAATTTGTTTCCCATCTGCAGTTATTCTATTACAGCTTCGTTTCCTAGGAAGAAGATTTTATTTTAAATTTGTAGAAACCTGTGTCTCTCTCTCACACGTGTGTGTAGAATTAACTTCTCTAAATTGAGTGTGTGCTTGAAACGGGCTTAAAACGAGAAAACCTTGTAGCGAGTGGATTTAATGCCAATCTAGATACCTTAAGGTTGTTAAGGTCATTCAAAATTACTACAATTCACGTATTTTGATGCTACGAAAAAAGATGTTCTAAAATGTTACAGAATTAGATAATTTTTATGTCAAATAGGAAGAATTTAAAATAACTTACTTTTAGAGAGAATTTAAAAGTCTTTCTATTTGGCTTAACTTTTTGCATTTATCGTTCATAACTCTTCTCGTACTTAACTCTTACTCTAAGCATCTTTCATTGTTGCTTTCATATTTTTTAGAAGTTTAAAATTCTCCATCCAAACACAACTTAAATGTATTATTTAAAGTATTTGATTTAAGTATTTTGTAAATATAAATAACTATAAACCAATGGTAGATAGGGCAGGGCCCTGCATCCTATGTGTATATGCTTTGTATTTTTCCCACTTTATATAATCCTGCACTAGCCGATGGACGGTAGTTCCGTCTTTGAAAAGTAAGAATAAATATTTTAAATTAGTCTTCTCAAGATTATGAATAAAAAATTAATGTAAATACGCATCTATTTAGGGATCAAATTGGTGTTCAGAGATACATCAAGGAGATAATCTGATTTCCATATTAAACTTTGAGGATCATTGATGATGTCCCAACTCCCACGTAGCTCTTTGGAAGACCAAATTTGTGTATTTAGTAAAACAAATGAAGCTTGGTTGCCGGGACTTATTTTGTTTGCCTGTTCAAAGAGTTATTATCAGATGCTTACTTTTCCTCAGTCTTTCGCTTTACAATTTACAGGTACCATACAAAGTGATGATAACTCCCTTTATGCGGTGCAGATTTCAAACAAGAAAGATTCTTCAGTTAACTCTTCCAAGAACCAATTGAAAACTCTTAGCTGGCAAGAGCGTCGAAAACTTGAAAGGGAAAGGAAGCAACAGGAAGAGGATGAGCAAACATTAGCAAAAGTGGAAGCTCCAATACCACAATCCAACATTGGGTTTAAGCTTCTCAAACAGATGGGCTACACTCCAGGTTCTGCCCTTGGCAAGCAGGGCTCAGGCAGGGCTGAACCAGTGAGGCTTGAAATTCGACGGTCACGAGCTGGTGTAGGCTTAGATGATCCCCACAAGGAGAAGAGGAAAAAAGAGGAAATCATGATGGATAGGAAAAGGAGGAAAGAGGAGGACTTAATGAAAGAGTTTGGATCTAGGCAGAAGTCACAGTGGCAGAGTAGGAGAGTTATAATTAATTACAATAAGGCAAAGGCTGCCCTTGACCAATTGGAGAATAGGGAAATTATTGAGCCACAAAAGAATGAGGATGATCCAGAGGATGAAAAAGAAGAGGAGGAAGAAATAACTGAAGAGGTTTGTAACTTGGCCATTTTTTTTTTCACTTAAACTTCTTTAACCTAGTTTTAAGTATTCATTTAGGCTTTGTTTGAGAGTTAATTTTTAGGAGAGAAAGGGATAAAGGGAAAGAGTTATTTGATAGTAACTCTTGTTTGAGAATTTTTAAATGAGAGAAGTTTTAATAAATCTTCCAAAACCCTCCTAAAACTCATTTTTTAAATTCACCCAAAATAAAGATTTTTTGTTAACTCTCCTCCCTCCTTCCCTTACCCCTCAAACCCTTCCCTTCCCTCTCAATCTAAACTTTCAAATAAAGCCTTAAGTTGCATGCCGAGATATAGTCTTGAAATTGCATACATGCTTTCTCTTCTCATGATCATTATTTCTAGAAGTTTTACAACTATAACAACAATGAGCAAGCCTTTTCTGATTAGGTAGTAGAGGTGGCAAAATTGGATAATCCACTGAAATATAAGGCTTGAGCTGGCTTGCAATGATTTTGTACTTTTTTCGGCCTAATGTGTTCGGGCTTTCTTTAATTAGGTTTGGGTAGGCTTGGTCTATTTATGTGTAAAAAACAATATGGGCTGGTCTTGAGCTTTAATTTTGTGGCCTGAATAAAAAGCAAATTTATTTGGTCCAACCCGATGGAGGGCAAAGCCTGAATTGGGCTTGCCTAAATTAAGCCTAATAGTCCATTTTATCACTTCTAGCAGGTTAGAGTCAGCTACTAGGATCAAATAATGCCATAATGTTTTGCCATAAATCATGTCTATAGAAAAACTGTTGAGCTTAAATTCTTATAAATTATTTTCCCTATAATCTCTTTAATGCATTCAGAAATTATTGTGATACGCTTGTTTTTTTTAAACTCATTATTATTGAACTTAGTTATTCTTGTTTGCATTGGTTGAAATTTTGATGGTGATGGAATGTCGATGCAGGACTTGCACGATGTTTTGATGAAACTGAGGGATGAATTTAATTATTGCCTCTTTTGTGGATGCCAAGTGAGTAAACGCTATATTTACTTCTAAGTAGTCAGTCAAAACTCAATATACTTTTAAAAAATGAAATAGCAAATCCAGTATAATTGAGCAATAAGAAGCCTCTAACTTTGATTGTAACTTTTTCTCTTCCTCCTTATTGTTCAGTACGAATCAATGGATGCCCTTTTGGCCAACTGCCCTGGAACCGATGAAGATGACCACTAAGTTGAAGATTTCTGATGTGGACGGTGGACATTCTCAGATTTTGTTGTATTTGTCAAGCAAGTGCTGTTAGCTTTAAATGCTTATACCAATGGAGATGGATAAATTTGCACATGATGGATGATTGGACATTCTCAGACACACAGGAATTTGTCTATGCTCTCGTTATAATTCAGCTAGGAGGTTGCCTGTGTCTGATATTCATCCATGCGCTATTGTAGGAAATGTGTTGGTTGATATATGGTTTGTAAAACTTTTCAGTTCATATTGAAAAGTTTCACATAAATTTTCTAGCTTAATTTTTTTTTTTTTAAATTTTAGATTTTGTGCATTTTAAAATTATGTGACCCGCTTTTCTCACCTGAACTCGACATTAATCATGTTACACCAAAATTTTAGCAAAATTTAATAAGATGATTGATACTTAAACTTTTTTCTTAGATAAAAATGTATCCTTAGAAGTTCCAATGAAAAGAAGATTAGAATGAAGCTTCTTTAATTTAATATTTTTATATTTATTAATAATACTTAAAATTTATTTTTACTAATCATATTAATAATAGGTTTAAATTTTATTTGGTTACATCTGTGAAATAAAATAATTATATGAACAAGATATTTGTTAAGTAAGCTTTATTTTGATTTATAATTTAATATAATGACTATTTTGATAATTTTATTTAATATTAATAAATATTTAATAACTAAATTGATTAGGTGAATTTTTTTTTCTAAATTATATGTATTTTTTTTATTGAAGACAATCATATTAAACTCAGTTAGGATCATTAAATGTAGCAAAACTTTTTCTCTAAATGTTTAATATTATTGTATTAACTAAAATTTAGACTTGAGACTACAAATATCAAGTGAGTTTTTAAATATTAAATAAATAATTTAGTATTTTTAAAATTTTATGATAATTTTTATTGAATATATGTAATGTAAAAAAAGTATTCAATTTTATTGTAAGATGCTATAAATAATTTAATAATATAAAAGCTAAATAGTTGATAAACTAGTACATTTTTCAGTAAATTTATTCTCCAAATTATTGCAAGTAGTTCTTAATAAAATAAAAGATAAAAAATATTATCTAGAAATAAGAAATATATTATTTTGTAAAATCTCAAGTTAAAGAGAAAATTATTTTTAAGATAACTATTCTCCTAAAATATTTCTTAATTAATTATAGAATTGTGATTTTTTTATTTAAAATATTCTTTAAGATATTTAAATGGCTCATGTATCCTTGTAGATATTTTAATTTTCACAACTAATTAACTTGTTTTAGTATGGGTACAAGTCATGTGTGTATGCTTTGCTAGAAAATATATCCCTATCATTTAACATACGTATAAGGCGCGGTCAGTCATATCTTATTACTAATCACCTTATTTATTTATTTTATTTAAATTTTTAATAGGCTTTTAATAAAATTTGTAACACCAACTTTACCCTAACTTCTTTTAACTCAAATATCCAGTTTATTCTCCACAACATGAAATATAATATAAACTTATAATTATAATTTTCTTATTATTGAAAACATAAAATTGATATAAATATATGAACATTATGCATGTTAACAGAAGTTATATATTATCCAATCTTATTTGGTGATTTTTTTTTAAAAAAACAATGTTTCTTTCATAGTATTTTCGTTTAAAATTAAAATAAAGATTATATAACTATACAATTAATGTTTAATAAATTACTATATAATATGTTAGGCCTTGAGGTGCCTCAACCTACAATTTTTATGAACACTGTGACGCTTGAGTAGCACATGGCATGATTAGACTTGGCTAAATAAATAGAATTTTTCAAAATTTGAGTCAAGTTTGGTCTTAAAAATCGTTATTGTTCAATTATAAATTCAACTAACTAATTTTGAGTCAAGTTCAAATTCAGAAGTTCCAAAGGATCTGCCATATTGGAGATAACTATGCTGATTTTTTTTAAAAATAAAAATTACAAATATAACACATCGAAATAATCAATAAAATTTATTAAATTCAAGTATATATTCTTCTATAAAATGACTGATCAAGTAATTAATAAAATCTATGAAAATTTAGCAATAGATTCCTTTATCATAATCAAATCTTTTCATACATTAAAAACGTATTAAAGTCTTTTTCTACATTGATATCATTATTTACTACGAATATTTTCAGACATCAAATCCATGTAAAAGGTATTGGGAATCATAGGGATCTCTTCCTCTTGGATCAAGCATCCCTTAAAATTTCTTAACTGCAGTGAAAATAACTCTGGCCAAGACATATTTATATCACCATCTTCATCCTTATTATCTTCAAACTCGGTTTTAGTGGTAGATTCACGGGTTTGGTTCTGCTGATCTCCATTATGAGGTTGGTTTCTTGGTTCTTGGTAATTATCTTTCCTTAACAAAACAGTACTCTTGTTGTCCTACAAAACAAGAATGCAAGATTTGCAGTTAACGTATCATTCTGTATTCAGTTAGATTCATTAAATTATAAAATCTATTTGATACAATTTATTCTAAACCAAATTTAATTTTAGTACACCTGTTTGAGAAAAATGGCTGAATACAGAATGATTCACCTATAAATTTTGTTTTATAGATCAAAAACTACTTTTAGGTAATCACAATTTCAATTTTTAATTTTAAATTCTTATATTTTTGAGATAAATACAGAATAATTTATTAAAATTAAAATAAATGGTGTAAATTACAATAAATAGTATAATATTAAAGATGGTGATAGATGATAAATTTTATTAAAGTATTAAGGATAAACTTAGACAAAAAAAATTAAGTTAAAATCAAACACTATTTCAAATAGCATTTAAAAAATATTTTATACTCGCTTACTAACGAAGAACTTTTATTTTGATCAAACAAACATACAAATTAATTAGTCAAATAAGTTGAAATAAACTTGAAATAATTTTCTAAATACATTTTTAATTAATTATTTTTAAATGGCTTACTGGGATATTATAACCTAAAACATATGTTAATGAATATCCATTCAAATAGAATTAAAATCAAATTTGAGTGGATTTGGAAAACATCACTTCGAGTCTAAATAAAACCAAATCAAATTTACTTAAGTTTATGGAATAAAAGAAAACCTTTGGGTTCAAGAATCTTGAAAGATAACAAGAGAGAAATAATTAAATAGTAATATAAAAACATAATTTACTTGCATAATCTCTTGACAATAATTAATAAAGCGACAAAATTAATGTTCTAATTAAGGTAATTAATAAAAGCAATACTTACTGATTGTAGGGGTGCCGGAAGTGCAAGAACGACGGTTCTCCTTTGATTGGTGACATTGATCTCTTCTGTCTTAGTTCTTCCTCTACCTCTTTTTACACCAACATTATGTCTCAGATTCTTTCTAAATCTGCATAGAACATAATTGTTGGCCTGCAAGCAACATAGATACAATATATTTTTGTCAAAATTTGCATAGTTAACAAGTTCAAATTTCAAAATAGAAAACAGTAATATGCAATGCAGTTAATGATGATAGAGAAACTTAGACAGATTTTGTGAGTGCTATTTTGTAGTGAATTAAAGAGTGATTAAAAATATGTTAAAAAATCTATAAACATGAATTCAAAATTACAAATAAAAACATTAAAGTAAACGTTAATTTATACCATTCAAACAAGAAAAATTGATAGACATTAATCGTTATTATTTGAGTTATTCAAATACAACAGAACATAATAATGCTTACTGATGTATCACTTGACAAAGATGAATCAAGGCTGTATTCATGCATGATCCATGCACCATCGTGGTGAGTGCCACTCTTCTCGAATCGGAAACGTTTCTTTATCCCAATGCGTTGGTTAGTATCACTGGCCACTACTTCTTTCCCAACATCTTCACCTTCCCATGAACCCTTTCCAATGGTTCGAACTAAACGTGACCCATTCTGGAACTTCTTCTTGTGTGTGGTGAAGAAATACAGGTCCTTTCCACTGTATGAGTTGGAACCAGCAAAAGCTTCCCAAATTTCCCAAGGGTTTTTGTCACCGTACAAATCATATTCAAGAATGGTAGCATCACTAGGCAAAGGTTTGCCATGGACCTTATTGTAAAGGAACAACCGGATCAGTTCATCATCTGTTGGCTTGAAATCTTTTCTTGAACGAAAATTAGATGCCATATTTCCAATCTCTAATAATTTGCCTATAATACACTTGCACCGCAATATATAGGCCACTTTATCTTATGAAATAACTTAAGTTTATCTTAATTGGTAGAAAGTGATAACAATATAACTTTGTTAAAATTTGAAAAAATATTAAAATTTTTTAAAATAAATAAAGAATAAATGAATTTTAAAATTGAATTTTGTATTTCAATTTTAAATTTAAATATAAAATTTAAATTTGATAACAAAAAATCATATATTTATTTATAAATAAGTCATATCTTTTAGAAGATAAATTATTATTTTTAGATAAAATTATTATCTTTTTAGATTTTACACTTTTAGAGAAGATTATTATATTTTTTTTCTTTAATATTTTTTATTATCAATGTTTTGTATTTATATATATATATATATATATATATATATTTAATTTATAACTATGTATAATGTGAATTCTTGTGATATAACTCCTTTAGTTTGATATCACTCAAGAATAAATTCTAGTCAATTAGCAGATAATTGTACCATTAATAAAATCAATATGTTATAGAACTAAAATGTAATTTAAGTTTAAGAGTCAAGATCAATTTATTGCCTAATCTTTCAATTAGTTAATTAAGTTCAATAAATCTAATGTTTTTTAATGTTCTTGTTTATCTTATTACTTTCTATGATCATTAGGATAATATATAAATAAAAAAGCTATCATAGAATAGCAATATTAGTTGATTACTAATTATTTTTAAACTGAACACATATAAGTAATCATAATAAAATTAAAGTCTCGTGCTTTCATCGTTATAAATCAACCCTGTGGTTTCTTTGCCTTTTTTTTTTTTTTTAACTTTTCTTTACTATTTTTCAATCTAAATACCCCATCAATTACTTAACATTTAAGAAACATAAATAATATATGTTTGTGATTATAATTTACGTGGAAACAATACTGACAAGGTTTAAAATTCTCTTTTTTTATTATAATTAATAAATATATTTATCTTGGAACTTTTTTTTAAACAATTTAAAAATTGCAACATGAATATATAAGGTGTAAGCAATGATATTGTTTAGTGCGAAATTTAACTTTATCTTTAAGAAAATTTAGCTTTTTACTAAAATAAATTATATTTATAAATTTTAATTAGAAATTATAATTCCTGTACACAAGTTTCTTTATATTATATATTTGTAAAGAAAAATTATTTATGGCAACTTTGGCAACAACGTAAGGATGTAATTGGTGGCGATTGGATTTGCCTAAGTTTTAGTTTCAAGATAAAAGGTAAGTTTTGCAAAAATATAACTATACTAATTTTATATAATTTAATGGATACTGAATATAAGTAAAAATTATTTACATAAAATTATATAAAATTAGAATAATAAAAAAATTAAAGATATTGGTAATAAAATTTTTAAATTTGTCTATTGAAGATGTAACCTCTGTAATAGAAGTTGTACTCGATTTTTAATTTTTGTGACAATTAATATGTTAAAACTTTCTAAATTGTATTGGATAAAATAAGAAGTCAAAAAATTTAGAAACTAACAATGTATTGGATTTTTGTTTTGAAAATAGTTTTCTAAATTTTAATACAAATATGTATTAGAATTTATTTTAAAAAACAGATAACTATTTTCAAAATAAAAATTAAACATATACTCTCGAGTTCAAGTGACAAAACAAAAGTATAGTTTTATCCGAATTACCACTGTCTTACTTTAATCATGTTAATATTATACTTAGGATCATAGTACAGCTTTAATAATACAGAACAAGAGAAACTTCCTCGAGAAAGGACAAGAGAAATTCCCCTTATTCTTATGCACTCCACTCGACAACTTAGATTAAAACCACAACACACCACACTAGCATTACATTACTAGCACTAATCCACGCACTCTCATTTTCAAAATTTACACGACCTTAGTCTCTTCTGAAGGAACTGTTCTGTCTTGATATAGTTCTAAATTTCTTTCTAGCATTCTGAATAAATTCTGAAAACTGGTCTCTTTCATTTTCCTTGCTGTTGTTGGTACCATTATCCACATCTACAGGAGCAGGGTTGCTCTGCTCATCATGGTGACCCATTTTTGACATGCTCCTGATTTTGTAATTAGTACTTCGAATGTAATTGGAAAAAGTGTCATCATCATACAGTGGTTTCGTACCATGTTGCTCTGTTGGGTATATCCCGACATCCATTTCCTCTGGCTTTGTTGAGAGTTTCCTTGGCAATGGAACAACAACATAGTGTGGTTGAGTTGATGCAACCTTTGCTCCCTGGCCACTATGTGCTTTTGAAATTGATGAGTTTTTATTCCCCATTGATGTAGAGGGTGTTGAATCAACAAGAATTATAAGGGATGGGTGCTTCTTTTATGCTAGCTTTGAAAATGGGTGAGTGTTTTTCTTTTGGGGCAAGATGAAGAGTTTGTCACTGATTCTTGTGTTCAAAAGATTATGGGTTAAGTGATGCTTGGAAGTGCAGAGCAGTGCTTGATTTTATAGGGTATAAGTCTGGGGTGAAAAGGAAATATGGAAAGACCAGGGACTAGAGAAGCAAAGGAAAACGCGTTTTGAAAGTCAACCAACCAGTCAACGAAAATGTGTGCCGAATCCAACCATATTGTTTTGTTTTAATGTAGAGATGAAATAGAATAAATAAATAAACAAGAGAAGAAAGAAAAATATATAATAAAAATGATATGTTATTTTAAAAAAAGTAAGTAAGAAAGAAATAATATTTATTTATTTATTTTAATGAGTAAAAGAGAGGATAAAATAAAATAAATAATTGATGCTAAAAATAGTTTTAATTATCATATAATACTTATTTTAATATTAAAAAAAACAAAAAGGACATATCATTTTTTATTATAATATTTTTTAGTAATTTTTAAAAAAATTTCAGTATTATATAAAAATTATATCAATAAAAATAAATAAAATAAACTTTTAAAAAAATTAAATACATTTTTAGTCTGTTCATTTTTGTGAGTTTTTTTGTTTTACTTTTAGAAAAATTCTTTTAATTTTAATATTTTTGTTCTAAGTTCGATACTTTTTGTCAGAACACAAAATGTGATAAAAACTTGAATCCAATTTGGTCACACAAAAGTGGCAAAGCTCAACAAAATTAAATTGGATTTGACTAAAATAGCTCAAAGTTAATTTGAGCTCAAAATTTAAAATTCAATCTTATATTTTATGATGCAAGTTTCTATTGACTCTACTTTTGATCCTTAGCAATAGCATAACTAATTAAGAGGTTGTTATTACTGATTTTAGTATGGTATGTAGTGTATCATTACGGAAGGCAAAAATATTAAATTAAAAAAAATTAGAGACTAAAATTAATGATCCGTGCAAAAATCACATATTGTTATTAAGATTCTGAAAAGACGAATGTGGGAGCATTTTTCCTTAAATTATCTATTGAACGTGATGGGAATTTGAGGACTGTTTCCCCCTTTCCCACAAGTGACAATATTGTTATACATCACTAAATTAATTAAAATAAATAAATAAATTATTAATAAAAATTGAAATTCATATAAACCTTTTTATATGATTTTGTTTTCTATTTTTATTATTTTCTTTTTTTTTCCTATATAATATCCAAAATTGAAGTATCAACAGATCAATTTAAATAGAGAATTGCAGCGTTATCTTATCCTTATGATGGAAAAAATGGTCAGATTAGAATACAAGAAAGTATTTATGCCCATCGAATATGCCTCCGCATCCTGCCATTCACATCAACCGGGGTTTGAGTAGTGAGGTTCTATTTTTTATTTTTTTATATTCAAATAAACACAATTAAAAATGTTTTTATATTTTCATAAAATATTTTTTAAAATATTTATAATTTTTATAAGTATTATTATTATTATTATTATTATTATTATTATTTATGGTTAATAAATAGACGTGATAAGAATTATAAGGATAAATGTTAATAGTTAATACTAGGATTAGGTTGCAAAGATAAAATTAATTTTTATTTATCCATTTTTATAAAATTTTAAAATATTATGATTCGTTATTTTTTCATTAATATTTTTTTATATAAAAATTTTAAAAATAATAAATAAAATGTTTGCACTTGTTAAGTAACCAAAAATCAATGAGACACCCATTTAAGGATATATATATATATATAGTGGACCAATAAATTAAATAATTTTTAATGATTTATATAAATTAATTATGAATTGTAATTGTTAGGGTTAATTTTAAAAACATAAAAGTATTAAATTTTAATTAAAAATTATATTAATATTATAAAATGTGATAAAATCTCTTTTTAAACTATATTTCAATATATATAATTGTGTCTACTCAATTTTTAGAGCTGAGATTAATATTTTTTAATTAAAAATATCTTATAAAAAATTAAATGAAGTGTTTAATCATGTGACTTTATTGTACAATGTAACATTAAATATTATTATGTAATTTTTGAAGTATTAAATTTTATGATTTTCATAACAAATTACTTGATATATTTATTATCACTTCTAAGTATCTATTACCATTTCTATTAAAGTAATTCTGTTTAGTTTTTCTCTTATACTATATTAACCGTAGTAATATTTCACATGAAAAAAATATTAAATGAGAATAACAAATGAGAGTGTCATAGGCACTTTCAAATTTATTATATACAAATTTGTATAAGATGTCTTTAAACACAAACTGTTCAAAAATAAACAAATAAGTGTTTGATCAAATCACTGAAAGGTAAAAATTCTACTCCCAAAATACGTTGTGGCTCTAGTAAGATAAGATTAGGAGGAAGCCTTTAAGCTTCTAAAAATCAAGATTTAGGCTTTACTTTTTCCTTTGCTTTTTTTTTTTTAAGTAATTAGTCTTTTAAAAGTATAAAATGTTTAGTAAATTTGTCCGTAAGAAAACTTCAAATTATTATATTAAAAAGGAAAAAGCGTAAGAATAAAAAATTCTAACTAGTATACACTTAAATTAATTTATTTCAAATATTAGT